GCCAAGGGAAGTGCAACAGTTGAAGAGGAAATCTGAGATAATTGCCCAGGCAAGGACGAACTCTGAGTTGAGGACACCTGAGGAGATGACAAAACTAGGAACATGGGGGAGGACTGAGTGTTCTGACTAAGAGGAACCGATAAGGAAAAGGTAATTAGCCCTGGGTTACCTTTAGAGGCTGGTGAGGAAAGAGACTGAAGCTGAGATGGAGGAAGAAGAAGAATGGGGGTGTTTGACCCTGTAGTATTAGCCACAATCTGAATGGGAACTGATGCCAAGTCAGACATGGCAGGTATGATGTGGGGTTTAGCATGAGCTACAGAACTGTAAAAAGATTTTTGCTCCAGGTTTGGGGCAACTTGTGAGGTTTCCACTGAGACATGACCTATAGACATATTTGGACATAGTGAATTGGGTAGTGTCTGTAGTCTGGAGTCTGCAATATCCTGTGTATCAGCAATGGAAGAGGGCTCATCTTCAGCTTGCCTTGCGCTTAGAGCTGTTTGTTCAGAGAGTCCCTCAATATGTTGTATATTATCAATTTGTGGGACTTTCTGTCCATCTGCGGTGAGTGTGTAAGGAATGCCTTGGTCATCTATAAGTAGTGTATCCATTGGATCTGGGGTTATGATGTTGGGGTATGATGCAGTTGGCATGGCTTCAAGCGAAGAGGAGGACAGATGTCCATCCCAATGCTGTGGCAGACATGTATGAGCGTCACTTACTGATGCAATCCAGCAAATGTCATTATCATCCTCCTGCTCCACTTCTACATGTTGAGGCTCATCCTCAATTTCATCAACTTCCATATGCAGTGAACCTTCATATTCAGGGTCTACAACCCATTCACACTTCCTCTCCTTATTTCGGTCTTTCTTTTTTGGTAGGCTTAAATCTAATATCATGTCTTCTTCACATTGTACCAAAGAACTGGTCACTGCCATGTCCCTTCCAATATCAAGTCTCTCCTCTCTTAGATTACATAAAATTTGTGTTTTATTGTCTTCAATGCAGTCTTTACTATATTCTAATCTTTCTTTGTTTGCATTTATGTCCATCCCAGGTTTACTCCCTCTTACATGAGCTATATCAACAACCTGTGTTTTATTCTCAATACACAACTCCTTGCTTGTTTGATTGCCTCCACCAGGTGATGGTAGTTTGTCATTATGGAAACTTATATTTAAAATAGATTGTTGTTGAACCTTAATCTCTAGTAAATCATTGGTTGAGATGTTAGCAATGTTTGTAGCTTTGGTGGTTACCTCACAAGCTTCTGTCCTAGCATTATCAGACTCCATCTTGGGAATCAGCTGCATGTTTGTTGGTAGACTCCTTGTGTTCTCATCAAAAGTAACTAATTTATATTCAACAGTCTTTTTTTCAAGTAGACTCATCTGGGCTGAGTCCGATTCATTTTTTGGCGAGTTCTGCTTACTGTAATCCTTTACAACTTCTGCCTGATCTTGTGGTGGAACAAGAAACACATCTGGGGTCACATTGTCTTTAGATTCAGTCCTTAATGAGAGTCCCTCATCTGATAACTCACCCTCCTGACCCACAGACATTTGGCTATCTTTGGTGACAGTAAGATCAGTCCACTTAATATGTGGAATGGTCTCACCTATCCTGTCCAATGTTTGTTGTTTGCGCATTGCAACATCTGTACATTCAGCAGTAGAGAAGAAATCATATTATTCAGTACTCATGGAGTAAGTCAGTTCATTATAACCTGAGAGAACACTGAAATATTGCCCGACAGTGCCACACAATCTTGCATAATCCATGTAATGGCACCATTGCCAGTTCCTTTCCCATCTGATGTAACTGCTGATTTTCACCCATGTCTCTGCCAGTGCCATCAGTCAGGACCTTCTACTCATCTAAGGCATCAATCTAAAACAAAAAACAAACAAACAAACAAAAAACATAAGACAAAAACAAGATTCTACATTCTGTAAAAGAAATAACAGAACTCAAGTTATAAAGACAAATCTCAAATGATCTATTGTTTAACGTAACAATCCTTTATAAAACATTAATGCCGTCAAAATGTACAAACTGCAACTTTTACTAAAAAAAATCACCTTTTTGAAGTTCCAGTCACTTTGTATACTCAAATTATTACTAACATTTAATACTAAATTGAATAATTATCCAATATTTAATGCTGCCACATTCTTTGTTATATTGTTATAGGAGTGTATTTACATATAAAAAGACAGTATCACAATAGTACATAAAAATGGTTGCCGAGGAAGTTTTGATGTGGCTTGGAAAAAAAAAATTCTACAATAATTTGTTCATTTTCTGAACTAAGGGGTTTGTTTTGTTCACAAGCATTTATGAATTATTTATTTTCACAAGCATAACAAACAGAATCATAACATATACTGCAGTTAAACACAACAGACAGAGGAGGCAATATAGAGTGCCTTGATTTAAAAAATGTGTACTTATATTTCATCTAGGGATCAGCACTAATAATGTGCTAGTAATATAAAAATAATAAAGTCATTTGCATCTTTGTTGACAACATGATTAAATTTCAGGTTATTTTCATTTAATATTGATGACTACCAAAAACATACATTCAACAGTAGGATCTGATGACATCAATGAGTAACTCCTCACAGAAAAAAAAAGAAAATACAAGAACACAACCTTTTTGATAGGTTATTATTTTAAAAGCCTGTTTATTACCTGCATACATACTGTCAGAAGCACTATAATACAAAATAATAATTCTTGCTACACTATTGACCATAGATAATTTAACAATTTATTAATTTCTCAGGCTCATTCTGAGAACAAATACTGTCATTATCAACTTTCTCTAGATGCGTTGTTATGGTCCGATAGGTCAACAAAACTTCTCTTGATATATTTTGAAACCTTAGAACACGCTTCAGAGGAGTCTGGTGGATACTGTTGGCAGATCACATTTTAGCAGTTGTCTTCATTTGTATCAGAAAGTATAACCTCTATAAGTTAACAATCTCAATTTAACAGCATTTATCATATAACGCTTTTGACAATAAGTCAAAACAATAAAACATTTTATATTTTCTAAACAGCAATATTATATTTTATTATGGCATACTACTTTTTCATAAACAGTATATTTAAACCAAGAAACCCACCAGTACTTTTTTTTAAATGAATACCAGAATATGACTGCAATTTATAAAATATATTAGATTTTGTTGCATAAACACAATCTAATTGTGTTTAGAAGTTAGGTAGTTCTCACATTTAACAATATTTAAAAAAAACTCTAAAAACAGACCAATTCTTTGTAAATGAAAAGCTTGATAGGATGCCAACTCAAATCAATAGGCTACATAATCACGGCACCAAGGAAGATTTTTTTTAATTCTGACCTTTTTACAATATTTCCAAAAGTACACAAATGCCATGCAGTTAGTCAGAATGCAACGCAATGAGCTTGAGCTGCGCGCTGTCATGGTAGCAGGTCCGCTCCTCCTTCCCGTGGTTTTCATCACAAATTAACTGTCAACGCGCATGGCTCAAGGTTTGACACCAATGCCTTTGTCAGTACTCAGCCATGCAGCACTGTGGGAGAGTTAGAGATTAACACGGGGACATTCGACGCCATTGCCCGCCGGAGGTCCGTTTAAAGAAGACAAATATAAAACCAAACATCGCGTTTGATGTCTGTGGGGTCCAGACTGCGAGTCGAACCCGTGCCATTACATGACCAAAAGTATCTGTTTGAAGGATATACCCTCCCCATAACCTGTGTATTACAAATACACTTTAATTATTCACATATTTTGGTCAAAACACTGACTGCGCTCGAACCTGCGACCAGCCATTTTATGCGAACCGAGGGTTCGAGCCGGTGACAGCGCTCAGACACACTGCTGCCTTGGAAACCTTATTTCAAACTTTCTAAGACAACCAACGCTCTTTAACTGCTACTCACAAGAACGCACATTTCTTCTCAAAAGCTTACAACCATTCGCACACATTGCTTCTTTATAATTGAAATATTGAATACGAAACTGTTCTGTGGGAGAGTTAGAGATTAACACGGGGACATTCGACGCCATTACGCGCCGGAGGTCCGTTTAAAGAAGACAAATATAAAACCAAACATCGCGTTTGATGTCTGTGGGGTCCAGACTGCGAGTCGAACCCGTGCCATTACATGACCAAAAGTATCTGTCTGAAGGATATACCCTCCCCATAACCTGTGTATTACAAATACACTTTAATTATTCACATATTTTGGTCAAAACACTGACTGCGCTCGAACCTGCGACCAGCCATTTTATGCGAACCGAGGGTTCGAGCCGGTGACAGCGCTCAGACACACTGCTGCCTTGGAAACCTTATTTCAAACTTTCTAAGACAACCAACGCTCTTTAACTGCTACTCACAAGAACGCACATTTCTTCTCAAAAGCTTACAACCATTCGCACACATTGCTTCTTTATAATTGAAATATTGAATACGAAACTGTTCTCACCCCACGAGTCAGCTCGCGCAGGCACTGACTGGCCCGACCCTGAGATACTTCCGGAAGACCAAATATGAATGAATGGCTGGGCGGAGAGGTTGAGCGCGAGCGAAAGGGGAGGGGGGATGTCGTGGTGTTGCAGTTTTCTACGTCCGACCTGGACACGCTTTAGCACTGACATTTTGGAGCATAACTTCAGTTGTGGTGTAGCCAATATGTTCACATTATTTTCATGACAATTAACGCATTTAGTAATATGTACATTAAATTGTGGCACATCATTCAATATAAACAATTATTTATAATGTGACAATTATATAATTCATTTTAGAATATGTTAATTACTGTATTACGATTTATACATTTTAGTAATGCAAACGACAGGGGACATTTACATTTCTTAATTTTCTTAAAGTAAAATATATTGTATTTTATAGTATATTGTAGCCTATTTTTAGGTTTGGAGATGGAATACAGCACTCAAACAATTCTTTGTATGCTACAGAAATCGTTTATACAGACTAACCAGGTAAAATAAAATCATTGTTGTTAATGACAACAAACATTCCAGATTCTTTAATGAAGAATCATGATATTACAAGAGGAAAATACATTCAAAGATGATTCACTGTGACGTTCACACAATGCAAAACTGAATCCGTATGACAGCAATAATTCAGCAAGGCTTTTATGCTATAATATTCCCAAGTAGACTCTATTCTTTATGTAATCCAATCAAGCAGTCCAGTCAAAGATCAGTTAACTCTAAACGCACCTGCTTTTGAAATACAGTGAAATTAGAGAGATATCAGACATGGCATGATTTCAGAGTTCACCTTTAGCCTGTGCATTCATGGTTGTGGGTTTGACAAACATATTAGCCAAAATAAACAAAGAAATAAAATATTACAACAAGATAAACACCAATGCTGCCTCAAAAATCACTTTGTTTTACACTTTGTATGACAACAAAACACAAGAAAAGAGAGCAGCTTATGGAAACCAAGACCTCAAGCAAGTATGAGGATGTTTATCAGATATGACAACAACTTCTGTTTAAGGTAACTTTGTCAATGCAACATACAACACAGAAAAGAGAAGAGTTAAGTGAGGCATAACTGTGAGATCCTACTAGGATCCGGTCCATAAAAAATGTAGTTGGCACATTAATAAGGCAATTTATGTTGATCCAGACTCCAGGTCATGGTGTCAGTTTGAAGAGAGAGCTGCGTGTGCCAACATGCAAAATGTGTTGTCAAAATTCGATGAGCTTACTGAAGGTCAGCAGGATCACATGGATTAATCTCTGAAACCAGACGATGAGGAAAGAGCTTGAACTGCAGCCAGGTAGGGTCTAAAGAGAAAAGAGGGAGACGAAGGTAATGCAGGGTTATTTTTAAGTGTAATGTTATTATATTATGTGCATAAATGTGGTGTGAATTATGTACCAAGATAGCAGCTAGGTTGCTTGAGCTGTCCATCCACGCAGACCTCTGTGGCAGTGAAGCTGCACAGTTTTTCTGGATGTTTACAGAAAAATGCCACATTCTCTCCATGAGCAACCACTCCATCCGTCAGATCATATGGCCAACGCTTTACTCCTCCCACGATCACCCTGCTGCGTTGAGCAGGGACTGGACAGCGGGCTGATCGGAAAGACAAGTGAAGAAACGGTGAAGAGAATGATGCTATTTGTCATGACAAAAAGGAAAGGAGGTTTACGATTCACGGCTGGAAACCAAAACATTCCAAACCATATATTTATACACCTTAAATTTTCAATGCAAATGTTTAACACAGTCATGATGACTTAATGCCTATTGTTTTGTTGCCAGCTGTATTTACCCCAGCAGGCAGGCTCTGTACTCCATGTCCCATTAGGTAGACAAGTCACTTTATTTGGTCCATCCAACAAGAAATTCTTTTTGCATAGGTAATAGATTGTACCGCCAACTTCATATTCAGTTCTCTGGACGGCCACCAGATGTCCACGTTCAACTTCCTTAGGAGGAGGACAAACCACACCTGATAACATATAAATGCACACACTTATATACACATGTAAGTTACTACATAATTAAAAATGAAACCTTAAAAACCTTATTAAGGTTTGTGTTAACATACATGTTTATTTTACAACTTTTTGACTTTTGTAACAATGAGTATTTTAATGTGTAAAAACAGGCCTTCACTTCATGTGCCTCAGGGTTATGCACATTTTAATTATAAATAAATAAATAAATACATTTAAAAAAGAAAGGACCAGTCCAAATTAATTGTTGTGGTAATTAATCTTATGCCTATATTTCGACTGAGCTTAAAAAGATGGTTTACCCAAAAATAAAATTCTGTCATCATTTACTCACCCAAAAGTTGTTCCACACCTGAATTAATTTCTTTCTGCTGTTAAACACAAAAGAAGATATTATGAAGCATGTTTGGTAACGAAACAGTAGACAGTAGCCACTGACTCCGTAAGTAGCCTATGGAAAAATACTATGTAACTCAATGGCTACCGTCATCGGTTACCAACATTCTTCATATCTTCTTTTATGTTTAGCAGAAGAAATTCATACAAGTTTGGAACAACTTGAGGGATGGGTAAATTATGACAATTTTCATTTTTGGGCGAACTATCCCTTTAACTTGTACTGAATCCGGAATATGCATTTAAAACAAGCCTAGGTTGATCCAACAGGGGGCAGCATTGCCCGTTCACTAGCTCTGCACACTCACAAATTCATTTACACATAGTGCCCTATCCACCTACACACAAACCCACACAGTCTTCATTGCTCTTCTCTCTCCCGCTGTCCTCTCATTTCTCTCTCATTACTTTGTTCCATGGTGTGCAAGAGCATACAAACCAAGTTCTCTTTAGCAGTTTGGATCAACATCTTCCTCAAGCACATACTAATACACCTGCTATTTCCTTTTAGCAGGATCAATGTCTCAGTCATTTCCATGTGGAGGAGTTCATGTAGACACACACTCACACACACACACATACACACACAGGCCTACGCATACAAATACTTACGGCGACAGATGGGGTGAGGATATTGCCACATCTGGTTCTCATGACAGATATTCTCACTATTTCCAATCAGCACAGATCTGTATGGGAAAGAGGGTGAGGTGTGTAGATTAGCATGATAAAACTAGGTATTCTGTTTATATCAGCCACAGTTTTTTCACTTCTGTCTCACCCAGGTGCACATTGGTACTGGATGGTGGATCCCACGGTGACATTGCCCTGCACAGAGAGCAGATCATCATCATCAGGCAAAGAACAGGGCACCTCAGGCACCAGAACCGGCTTTGCTGCAAGACCTCCTCCTGGGGAGGCTGACGGAAAAATCAAAATAGCTTATTTATCTCTTGACTTGAGTATGCATTAAAATGCTTGGTTGATTTGGTAGACATCTAGTTGAAAACATGTGCAAAGTTTTTAGAATTGTACTCTTTGTATTCATGTTTCTTATTGTTTTGGAAAAATCTTTTCAATTTAAAGTTTCTGAGTCTGAGACTCCGCACACCACACGGAGGAAATAAACTATTAGCTCCTATCAACAAGGCAACAATTAACCTGTCAGACCCAATGTAGCGAAGAGCTACCTGAATTATTAGGGCTAGTAAGGTATCGTAGTGAACCAGGTGTGTCGGTCAGAACACACAGAGGGGAGTATCAGTTTCAACAGCTTTAATGATCATAAAGTATGATAATCAACAGTAGTGAGGGAAGACAGCCTTTACATACACTTCAGTTAGTGGTTGGATGTCAGGATACTGAAAGATGAGCTTGGTTACAGTGAGAGAGGTTTGGGTATTGTGATCAGTCAACGGGCCGCTTTATAGTGCTCAAATGAGATGAATATTCTTAGCTCTGTTCAGTCTCTGTAATGACAGCAGCCGAGCGCATAGAGATGGAGAGGCTGAATCATGAGTGAGTTATATTCTTTCAGAGGGAATCAAATGTACAGGCTATCTGCCGTGCAATCTTTACTGCAGTTGGTTTGACTCACGACAGACTGGATGATTATCAACGGACAGGAGCTTGATTGTATGATTGTAGAGATATGCAGGGCATACGAGTACAGGTTTTGTGGATGTGTGTGGTTTATCCACTCCTATAGCACTCACACGGCACAAAATACAGTCAAGCTGAGGCTGATAAATGATAATGAACGTCTCTGGTGCTCGTTATGCAGAGAGACCGATCGCTAACTGCCACAGACACAGACTGTCAGCTTCCTCATACTACATCTACCCGTAGCTTACCGTTACGTGATGCGCGTCTTTCATAATCAAAGTCTCCAACAGAGTCAATGCGACAGCGCACCATCAGTAGCTTTATCGCCTTTTGCACAGCCGCCCCCAAATTGTGTGCAATTTGTCTCTGTAAAAGGCTAAGCTGAATCGGTGGCCATTGGAGTGCATCGCTCATCCTCCTCAGATTCAGGGATTGCCGGAAGAGAAATAATCCGGGCAACAGGCCTGGTATAGACCTTATCCTTGACTTGGACATCTGCAGACCTCACGTGACCATCTGCACTGCCATGTACTGCAGCCACTCTACCAATGGGATCAGTACAATGCCAGAACTGCGGATCTATCAACAGACCGTTTGCTCAGTCCCTCACTCCTAGGATACACTACTTGAGGCAGTGCCCCATCAGGCCGCCCCATGAGGAGGACATTTGGGGTTATGGCATCCAAGTCAACAACATCAGATGAGGTGTAACCCAGCGGCTTTGAATTTAAGATAGCCTCGACTTCAAAAACAACTGTGTGCAGTACCTCTTCAGAGATTGGCTGAACTCCTATGACCGTGTACAAAGCTGTCTTGACAGACTTGATTTCCAGCTCCCACGTACCCCCAAAATGAGGTGCGGCAGGAGGATTGAATCGGAAATCAATCTTCTGTTTGGCAAAAAGTTGTCGGAGATCTGAGGACATTCTGCGGAAGCATTCACTGAGCTCCTTCTCACCTCCTCTAAAATTCGAGAAAGGAGTCGGCATCCATCCCGTGTATGAGGTCCAAGTGCACAGCTCGGGTGGTGAGACACTTATAAATGATACTCCATCTCTTTTCTGAACGCCTCCCTAGCTTGACTTGGAATGGTCCAAAACAATCTACTCCAGTCGAGTAGAACGCCGGCTTGTACAACCGTAGACGGGGTACTGGTAAATCAGCCATCTTCGGGATTGACGGCTTGGATTTCCATCTCCTGCACTCTTGACATTGATGTTGAACCCTCTTAATCGCCTCTCTACCTCGGAGGATCCAGAAGTGACGCCGTATTTCTGCAAAGACCCGCTCTGGTCCTGGGTGACATAGAAGTGCATCATAATCTTGGATAAGCAGCGTAGTTGTGCAATGCGAAGGGTCCAAAATAATTGGATGCTTGAATGCAGAGTCCAGCCACTCTGCACGTCGGAGTCTACCTCCTACTCGTATCACTCCCTCAACCGGGTCTAGCTCTGGGGATAGGGTAAGAAGCCGGCTGCTCCGACATACTATTCTTTCAGCTTTGAGACGACGCAGCTCATCGGTAAAGCACTCTGATTGACACCTACGGAAAACAGTCAACTCTGCTTGCCAATAGTCCCCTGCAGACAAGGACTTCTCTGGGTCAGCCGCCCCATGAGCCTCCTTTGCTACTGCCTCTACCAGAGCTCTCCATGACGAGTATGACTGATCCGGAGGGGTTTCCTGTTTATCCACACTGGATACCACTCCACATGAAGTTGGCTTCCTGTATTCTGAGGTATCAAGTTCTGACACCTCTCCTGGTAAGGATGGCCATTCGGCAGGTCCTTTGAAGAGGAAGGATGGGCCTTGACTCCAACGATTAGGCATGCCTAATTCCGCTAAGGTCTTTCCCCTGGTGACATCGTCTGCTTGGTTCTGTGCGGAGTCCACATAGCGCCAGGTACACTCTGCTGTAAGCTGTAATCCATCTCCGTCACACGAGTACCCACGAACACCTTGAAGCGGCATGACTCGGACCGCAACCATGTCAGCACTGTTGTCAAGTCACTCCAAAGGATGATCTGATCCAACTTCACCGTCAGCTCTCTCTCTATGGTCTTAGCAAGTTGAGCTGCTGTCAAGGCACCACAAAGCTCAAGACGGGGAATAGAATGCTGTCTGCGGGGTGCTACTCTGGATCTGGCTGCTATGAAAGCTAAATAGACCCTACCCTGGGCATCCTCTGTCCTCATGTAAGACACTGACCCATACGCCTTTTCGGAGGCATCACTAAACACGTGAATCTGCCGAGAGGCAATCCCCTGTTGGGTATGAGTGGGAGTATAAGGTCTGAGCAGTGAAATACTCGCAAGCAAGGGCAACTCAGATTCCCACTCCATCCATGCCAGTTACAAGTCTGCAGGTAAGAGGGGGTCATCCCAATCGCGCGGTTTGGACAATCAGCTTGGCACGAGTTGTGTAGGGAGCTATAAATCCCAGGGGTCGAGTTGTGTAGGGAGCTATAAATCCCAGGGGTCGTACTGTCTGGCTAACACTTTATAGACATTTCTCATGGTCAGCACTTTGTACTCCAGAGTCTGACTCTTGTAGCCTAAAGTGTCTGTCTCCCACTGCCAACTGAGCCCGAGGATCTGTTCTGACAATCCAGACTCATTCTTTGAGAGCCATCCCTCTATGCTATCTGACCTTGCTTCTGGTGGGAGGTGCTGAAGAACTTTCGGCTTATTGCAAGCCCATTGCCTGATCTCAAACCCTCCAGAGGATAACACTGACCTGAGACTGTCAACCAACGCCATGGCTTCGTCTGTGGTGGGCACACTCTGGAGACAGTTGTCCACATAAAAGCAGTTTTCCACTGAATGTCTCACTCCCTCTTCTGTCTCAGCATGATCTTTCGCGTGCATCTGAAGTGCAAAAGTGGCACAGCACGGTGAGCAGGCGGTACCGAAGTGTAAGACTTGCCACTCGTAAACGTCGGGGCATTCATCTCGTCTCATATCACGCCATATGAACCTGAGAAGTGACCTATCCTCTGGCAGAAGTCGAACCTGATGGAACATGGCTCGAATGTCACCGCTGACCGCTACCGCGTGTTTCCCTGAAGCGTAACAGAACTCCCAGGAGTGAGGGTCCAAGCGTAGGACCGGGAAGGAGTGTGTCATTAAGACTTCTACCTTGGAACTGAAAGGAACAGTTGAAGACCAAACGACTCTTCCCGTTGTGGCTCACAACATGGTGGGGAATGTACCACGACTCGTCTGTAGTTGAGGCCTCATTGGGGTCAACCTTTTTGACTGCTCCCACTTCCACTAACTTGTGAATCGCTGCACTGTGCTCCTGAGCTTGTAAAGGGTCCCGACCCAAATGCCTCTCAAGACTCTGGAGGTTAGGTAGGACGGCTTCAATAGGCGCTCTAAGGGGGGGGAAACTTCCGCTTCCGTAACAACGGCATGGCATATCTGAGAATGTTTCCAACTTGCACTCGTTGAGTCTTGGCTTCCAACAGCTCCACCGCTTCTCTATCCTGCTTCGATCGCATAGCCAGCTTATTGCTTTGATATGGCAAAATATCCATCTTCCAAAGCTTCTCCACACCCTGCAAAAGCTCGGCAGTCTGGCACGAAACACCAGTAAGAAGACATTGTTGCGTAGGTGACGTCCATTGTGTAAAGTCTGCTGGCCCTTGGAGCGTCCATCCCAGCCTCGTGCGAATGGCTGCAGGTCCTCCTGGAGGGCCCAATCTCACTGGCTCAACAGGGGTAAGCAGGTGAGGATAGTCTGCTCCAATCAGAATGAGTGGCTTAACTTGTTCAAACGACTCAAGGGGAAGATCAACCAAGTGCTGATACTTCCTCTTCAAGCTAACCGCCGGATAGGAATGGTCTGCAAGACCCAAGCGCTGTGAGGTGAATGCTGCCCTAATCCGAAAGGTCCTCTTGGGATTAGCAAGGGCCGATATAGTGAATGAGACAGCGGATCCTCGGAGAGTCTGCACCTCCTGACGGATGGTACGAAGGGCGAGCTCTTCTGGCTTCTTCTGCAAGTCTAAGATGTCAACCTCTTCTGGGAGGAGCATTGTGCGTTCTGACCCATCGTCCAGAATCGCATAGGTGTCTAACGTTCTGCTTCCATTTCGCAGTAGCACTCTGACAACTTTCAACAAGACACGAGAAGTAACTGAGGGCCTATCTACATAAAGAACATCTGTGCTGGTACTCACCAGGCAACTCTCAGATTTCAGCGGCTCGGCTGAAGAGCGTGAGTTGGCATCATGCAAGACTCTCAAGTGTTTCCCATGACAAACATCACAAAGCCTCTTAAGATCACACTGCGCAGCCAACATCTCTTATTG